CAATCGCCGCCCAGACGCACGCACACGCAACGCACCTTTCTGCCCGTGCTCCATCGGTCTCCGCCGCACGCCTGGCGGCAGTCCTCTGACGAGCAGCAGCTCTCGCCCGGTCAAGCTGTGGGCTGCCTAGGGGCTCCCTCTCCCCGTGGCTTTGTCTGCGCCGCGAGTCTGTGTGCGTCTCTGCCTCACGGAGGGAGTTCGGGTCAATCGGCCCCAACGGACGTCTACTCATCATGCAATTGCCATGCCATGCAGGCCGCTGTGGCTGTGTCCGCTCTGCGCTGTTGGTGTGTCGCTGTGCCCGCTGAGCGCGTGTTGTCTGCTGTGCGTGTGTGTTCAGTCTGCTCGCTGAGCGCGTGTTGTCTGCTGTTGCTGTTTGCTGCTCTGCTGTGTAAAAAAAAAAAGTGCGCCCTGTAGTCACAAATCAAGTCCTGTACTCTAAAACCTAGTTTAAGCGAACACAACACACGCACGCACTTTTTTTCCTGCATCGGCCCCTATATTGCGCTGAGCCCTCTCAGGCAAGATTAGAAATCTCGCTTCGCTCGAATTAGACTATCATGCACGTGCTGCTGCTGTGTGTACCGGTGTGGTGTTATGGTTCGGGGCATTCATTGTTCCGCAAGTACAACCCCACAAAGGTAGTTGGCCGCATTCAGCGGAGCCTCTGCAAGAGCTGTCTGGACTCGCCCTGCTCTGCTCACAACCAACNAACCGTGCCGTGAACGGGAGCTGTTACGTACTTACTGCTTACACACTTGAGACCTCTACCCTGCGTGCTAGCGACTCGTGACATGGTGTCCAATCCGAGAATCGAACTCGGGTTTCCATGTTCGTCGACGGGGGGGGAGGTGCTTTCAGCACGGGGGTAGTTACCCCTAAACGCGGCAGTGGATACAGGGTCCACGGCGAGCGGTCCACCGGGCGCGATGCGTGCCGAAGGACCCGGATTTGCTCGTTCGACGCCAGCAGGAGGATACCCTTTCGGGTCAGGTTCGGGAGGATCTAGAGAAGGGTGCAGCTCAGGCTACAGTGTGGATGGTAGGGGAGTTCTGAGTTACGAGGTTGAGAGCTGCAAGCCCAAGCTTCTGATGTCGACCCCCAAATGCATGGTGGCCAATATTCTCGATGGAATCCACACATTACATGAACTACAAGAGTCAGACTACCATTTTCACTAATTCGTGATTACTTCATTGGCCCGAACCCGATTCGGCCGCTCTTGCGACTTTGGCCAGNTTCGATGGAATCCACACATTACATGAACTACAAGAAGAGTCAGACTACCATTTTCACTAATTCGTGATTACTTCATTGGCCCGAACCCGATTCGGCCGCTCTTGCGACTTTGGCCAGAGCCACTGGGCACCTTGAGTGTTCCTTTCAACGCTTTGGGAGGAGACGCACGTCTCACGTCGTGATGTTCTTGTTCATTGCTTTCTTGCCACCTGTGTTTGTGTGTTGTGTGTGTGTGTTTTCGTCCTATTTATTATGGCGACAGTCCCGCCATTTTTCGTGGGGGGGATATCACGTGACCGTCGCAGCACAGTTTCCCGGGGACCGCGGACTACTGCTTTCCGCAAGGGGGGAGGTGCTGCGATCTGGAGCACGGATTTCTGAAGGCATGTCGTACCACCCAGGCACTATCGAAGACCGAGGGGATTATCCGGCACGGCCCCCGTACGCATTAGCAGCGCTTGTCGTGCCAACGGAGATCCACAAGAGATATATCGCGGGGGCAGCTGCTAGACCGTGAGGTCGGTTTGAAACGCCGGTCGAATCTCCCACGCGCGTCATGCCCCACGAACTATTCCATCACTCGCGCTTCCGATTCGGCTGCTTCGCAACCATCCCATGCTCGCAAGAACAAAGTTCACACACCGACGAATGTTCAAGAGCGCAGGCTCCGTTTAATCAACCAACCAACTCTCAGCACTAACAACATCCCTAGCGCGCTTCTTCGGTTGTCTGCTGTGTCTGTGTCTATGCGAATATTCAATGAGCGCGCACATTGTGTGTGACCAGCTTATTGACACAACCACCTACATAACTCTCCTAACACTACCAACTTCACGCTCGCGTTTTCTTCCGGTGTCTGCTGTGTCTGTCAGCGAATATTCATTGAGCGCGCACATTGTGTGTGACCAGCGTACTGACACAACCCATGCACTTGCCCGCTGCTTACCGTTTGTTTTGCTCGAGTACCCTCCCACGCACTGCGCGTGTGTGTCTAATCATGTGGCACGCGTAGTCCGTTTTCGATCCTGCAAAAATAGCATGCTATCGTCCAGTTGTTTTCCAGTAGTTGTGAGTGTATCGGGTACTCCACGCCATGGCATGGGCGGGAGTTTCTCCTACGTTCGAAGTACGTCGCGGGAGTACCATGTATTGCTGCAAACATCCTCTGGATGTCTTCAGCAAGGGGGGATCTCCCGCGGCGTAATATCACTTCTCCGACACCGCGAATTATTGCCTTCCGAGGGGGGGAGGTTATGATGAGTCTCGTTGGAAAAGGAACAGCAGCTTAGCCTTGGTGCGAGAAGATCAGCAACAACAGCCACCGCCACACGAAGCGAAGTACCCAAGAAAATGTCGTGTGTTGATATGTAACCAGTTTGCTGTAGATATCAAGTATTTGCTTCTTGCTCCATCAAGACCTCTTGTTCCTCGTGCCGAGAGCCGTAGAAGCGTCACGACGTTAAACGTTTGTTGCGTGGTTTCGCATCAACCATATCAATAGAATGGACTGAACAGGCAATCTTCGCCTCTCCACCAGGTTGTAGTCGAGTGCATTCATCGTTTGACTCTTTGATGTGGGAGTGTAAAGCTATTCCCCAAACTAGTGTAGAATGGCGATTGGATGCCTACATTGCGCGTGACATCTGCCCTACCCGGAACTAGCTTCCCAGCGTACTCGCCACACCNTCGTACTTACTGCTTACACACTGGAGACCTCTACCCTGCGTGCTAGCGACTCGTGACGACAGTGGTTTGTCTTTACATAGTACCCTCGACACGATAGACAAATTGGTTCGTGCGGGTGGCGTTGGGTTGACTCCTGGCTTGGTACAATGATAACCCGATGGTGTACACCATGAAGAAATACCTTCGTGCGCTATCACATGGTCAAGGCGATAACGACGGTCATAACAGCAGACAGGGTAAGGTCTGAACCGAACTATGAAGATTTTACGACCGTTGAATGTCACCGTACGTTACCCTTCGTTTCTGGAACGGAATGAAGTCTTCACGAAAAGAGAACGTTACACAATCAGATTATTTGGGCTTCGGAACTCATCAATGACTCGATTCAACCAATCACCCAAATCATCACCGATCCATTTGATGAGATGCGGCCCGCGGGGAGCAGTTCACCAATCTCTTTGACTACTCTTATTCTACAACAGAGCTACGAGTAGCAGCAGGAGCAGCAGCAGTGCCCAGCAGCAACACCGCAAGATTCCCAGCGGGGAGGTGGGGTTGCCTGCGACGGAGAGGTACATAGCGGGATCGCACGTTCAGGTGTGTATGTACAGTATAGACTATTCTTCATAATCAGGATTCTGCGTGCTATTGTGGCAAGGAAAATACGTACAGTCTTAATTGAAGTTATTAGTCTATATACATTGGCAGCTGGATGATCGGAGGCAGTAGTATTCGATTGACATCCACTTGACGACCAAAATTCACTTGAGCAAGCGTAGAGCTCGGTACAGGAATGTGTCCACACAACGGTGAATGGCTACATGGGTATTGACAATAAGCGCTCTCTCCTCGTCTACCCAAGAGGCTCCGAATCTATCATTTTGTTTTCTTTGTCCGAGTTGTTTGTACCCCATTTTTGTTTTGTTCCCCCGCGGCGTCGTATGTGCCGGGTTTTGAGACCACGGGCTCGCCATTTTTTTGTGGACTAAAGAGCTAATGTGAGAAATAACAACAACAACAACAACAACAACAACAACAACAACAACAACAACAACAACAACAACAACATTAACAACAACAACAACAACTGTATCCACGTCTTGTGCGAAAACCACGAGCAATTCGCCAGATAGCCACAACAAAGACACTATCAACATGCTCCAGAACCACCTAGCTAGCCGGTTCCCTTACCATTCACTGCAAAGCCTCTCATCCCGTTCGACTTTGGTATTATCTCGAAAGTGCAGTCTCTCTTTGATCGGATGTATATTTCCGAAAACTGGACTCCTTTGTTTCCGAGGAACAAACTGCTGCCTGTTGACGTTAGCAAACCCGACTGATATTCTTGATCCGCACAAGAAAAAAAAAGTATATATCGTTGCCGATGAAAACGTTGTACGGGTCCGTTGTATCCCTACTCTTGCCCACGCATGTCCCCTCTGAATTTGGCGCAGCATGAGTGCTTCTTCGATCTTTTCAGACCCCCCACGGTCGCTACCGCTGTACCGTTCAACTGCACGTTCTATTCGTGTTAGAGCCGGGTTCTGACGCGTGATGCATGCACGCTTCTTCTGTTTCTCTGGATCCACATATCTATCTGTCACCCTTTGATGGTGTGACGCTGTCGACCTTGTTCAACGCCTTGCTCCCTCTCTCCAGCGAGAGTTTTTCAGCCGACGATCTCTCTACGGTGATGAAGGTGTCAACCCCCGCCAATATTTGGAGGCGTCTATCTCTTGGCGAGATGCACCCAATCCTACTCATGACCTTGCTCAGTTCCGTCCCCCCGGCTGCCACCGGCGACATCTACCTTAACAAGTCGAGAAGTGACGTTCGTCGTTTCTAGGAACAAGCTCCTCATTTTCGCCGGCGTTTCTCTGCTTGCTTGCTAACACTCTCACAAGCATGGCCGAATCCTTCGTCAGGATGGGCTCTTCCTCAACCCTGTCGGGTCTCAGACCTTTTATCCATCCCGTTCCGCTTTGACGGACTCTACTTCGCGATCAACCTGTCCCTCTTCTCGCGATTGGTGCTGCAACAGCACTCCTGCCTGTCGTACCATCTCCCGTCCACCCACGTGATTCTCTAGGCTCTCGCCCTAATCGCCCCTATCGCCACGGTACTCGTAGCCAGATACACATTAACAGTTTGGAAAGCAGGTGTACCTGTCTATGTAACGCTAGTCCTCTCAGGAATATGGTGCAGGAGAGCCGACCCGTATGACTTGCTCGCTAGGTATATCGCTGACGCCATGTGCAGTATAAGATCCTGGTAGGTTGATCCATTCTTAAGCAAGTCATTCCCTCTCTTGATGATGAATATCGATGCCAACCAACTGTCGTAGCAAGCACACGGGCCGATTTGACCTTAGTCCGCTGTCCTCTATCATCGCTTCTACCGGCGATTCAGACACCGGCAATTTTCACATGCTGTATGACACACTGCTGGAGCTGCAGGTCGCTTGGCTTCTCATTCATCTAGCGGCACGCCACCACTCTACTTGTACGCTATTGCTAGCTGCGATCACCGCATGATCGTTCATGCGGTCAGTACTTCAGATCCGACACTTTGCCGAGTATAGTCGATGCAGTTCGGTATTCCGAAATGAGTTGGGTGGCTTTTATGGGTACATCGGGCTCTCTCTCTCTCTCTCTCTCTCTCTCTCTCTCGCTCGCTCCCTCCCTCTCCATATCTTTATCAACATCTGTCCGCGTCAACAAACTGCGTGATGTACTTTATCGTGATCGACACTGTTCTGCTCGTCTCCTCCCTGCTCGAGATGTGGTTTTCTCGGCGATCATTGAGGCACCAAACGGCCCAACTCTTGACGAAACCTCTTGGCGTTAAACCCCGAACTCGTCACGCCGTTCTACAGCTTAATTTCGTCTTCCTTACTACGGCCGGTGACATCTACCTCAACAAGCCGAAAAGTGACATTGGCCCTTCAGGGGGGGAAGCCCACCCCTTTCGTCGGTGTTTCTGTGCTTGCCAACTGTCTCACAGGTATGTTCGAATCGCTCGCAGGAATGTGGGTCGCTCAACACCAACGTCGGGTCTCACGTCTTGCAACAATACCATCCCACATGATTGTTGACGTTCTCTTGTTCGCGTTGAACGTGCCTCTCCTCTCGCGATGGGTGCCGCAACAGCGCCCGTGCTTGCGGCACCATCTCCCGTCCACCTATATACGTGATTCTAGGTCCGTCTCCCAACCGCCTCAACCTCCACCTCAGCGGTAGCCAGATGATAAATATAATCAGTTTGGACGGCAGTGTTTCTGCCTACCGCCAGCCCTCTCAGGAATATTGTGCAGGAGAGCCGACTCGTATGGCTTGCTCGCTAGGTATATCGCTAACGCCATGTGCAGTTTAAGATCCTGGTAGGTTGACCCATTCGTGAGCAAGTCGTTCCTTCTCTTGATGATGAACATCGATGTCAACCAACCACCGCAGCAAGCACACCGGTCGAATCGACCCTAGTCCGCTGTCTATTGTCGGCTTCCTACCGACAGTTCAAAAGTAGAAAAGCTCCGAACATGGACATTTGTTTAAGCTGAAAAGT